TGTTAAGTGTTGGATGTTAGGTCCAGTTCTGGAGATATTAAAGTGACCAAAAGCAACACAATCCATGCCCCGTGGAGCTTACAGTATAGTTGGGAAGGAAAAACATTAATGTGATGTTTTCCGATGGTCTTAGGCGCCCCCTGTGAAAGGGTTGTTCGACCCCCAAAGGGGTCGCGACCCACAGGTTGAGAACCGCTGATCTATACGAATAAAAATGTAATAAGCTAATTAGCCCAAATGACCTTCCAGACAAAGCTGCGGTGGTGGATGGTGAGGCAGAGGCAGTTAGGGGTGATCAGGCCAGCAGGGGAGCAGTTAGGGGCGATCAGGCAGAGGTGGTTAGGGGCGATCAGGTAGGCAGGCAGGTAGGCGAGTGGTTAGGAGCCAGCGGTCCTGGGATTGTGAGAGGGATGTCTGACTGCCATGGGGGTGGGGAAGCCATGGGGGTGGGGAGCCATGGGGGTGAGGGTGGGGTGGGTCCTGCAGGGCAGGCTATCTGGGTCCTGTTTCCTCCTCCCCTGGATTTGGGGGAAGGTCCCCGGTGGGCTCAGCTGGAGCGTCAGGATGCAGTTGGGACAGGTTGGGGCAGATAAGCCTGGGGCTCCTCCAGCCATTTTAATTACCCCCTGGTTCCTGCATCACATCACATTATTTTTTCCTTCTACAGGGTAGAAAAAGAGCTTATGGAATGAACTGAGGCCCTATGGCAACCCCAACCCCACTCAAACCAAAATCCACAGGCTATTCCACACGCAGAAACTGGGACCGGAACCCACATACTTGACGACGGCTCCAAGGGGGGCCTTTGGGATCGACAGCGGCCCCGGCCAGCCGAGCTGTAGGAGTTCTGCAGGAATGATGGGGATTGTGTCAAGCTCAGGGCCACGTGAGTCCCCACACGGGGACCTTCAAGAGCCCAAGGGGCAGAGACCTGACTTCCAGGGAACTAAGTGCAATTACCAGAAACTGAGCCCCAGGAGAGTGTCTGCGTGGGGCTGGTGGATGCAGACCATGTACATATGTCTCCGTGGACGGTGCCCTGGGCACCCAGAGGGACTGGCCAGTGTCCCTGTGAACTGAACCCAAAGCCAAGCCCCATCCACACAAACCCTCCAGATGTGTATGCAGCTGGATCAGCAGCTGCCTGCCAGAGAGGGAGGGGCTGGAGCCTCTCTCGCTGTGGAGGGCAGACCCAAGGGAACTCCGATTTCCATCACTCATGTGTGTGTGATGTGGAGAAAGTCCCAGAGCATGACAATGCCTGGGGCCATGTGGCATGAGGACTGGGAGGACAGGCCCCCGCTGACCACATGGGGACTGTCTTTCATCTTGGCTGTAATTTGCAAGAGGAAGAAACGCTGGGAATGACGCTCCTTCTGCAATGGTCTGAGACCAGGCCGCTCTCCTACAGCCTCGGGGGAGCGGGCAGAGACCAGACGCCGAGTCCAGCCTCCCAGAAGGACAGAGTGGGGCAGCCGAGGAGGTCAGGGCACCATCTGGTGAGGGGCAAGTCTAGGAGAGGTCCTGGAGAAGACTTTCGGACATTGTTGCTGCTGTTGTCCTGGGGGGCGGGGTGGGAGGTGGGGGCATCGTTTCCAGAAGAAGGCTCCTGCTCACATGTCTGTCGTCTCCCTTTTGGAAGGAAGACTTTTGGACCGGCTAGATCAAGTGCAATAGAAGGCAGTGAGTGCGGAGGGAAGGACAGCCATGTCTGTGTTGGAAGAGGCAGCGGAAGGCAAGGACGGCTTGATCCCAAGGGTGGGAATCGCTGCTCTGTGCCTGTGGGGCGGCGCCGCCATCCTGGGATATCCAGTGAGAAGAACCTTTGGCGAAAACAAAAATGTCTGAAGTTCAGGCCACTGAAGGAGCCGTGGGGGAGGGGACCCAACAGAAGAGCGGAGAGTTCTCGGAAGGGCAAACCCAGGGAGGGAGAAGGATGGCGACTGGCACAGAGGGGGCATCCCAGGCACATGGGGAGGGATGGTCCAACCAAATCAAAGGATTGGGGCCTAAGAAACGCCCCAGAACAGCTGAGAAATACTTGTTCCCTTTTTAATCTACACCCAAAGCACCTGCTACACCAGCCCCCACGACTTACCAACGTTTAGTGAGCAAACATGACTGAACCGACGTCTTTGCTTGAAAACCCAGGCGTCTGAGCGCTCCGGTGGGGATGGGCGTGTGGGACCACGTGCGGAGTGAAGACCGTAGACCCTGTCTGCTTTCTCTGGGGCCCAGGCAGCGCAGAGAAACCCCGCTTCGCTGCCTGAGTCGGCGGGCACCCAGGAGGCACGCTGGGCCTCGGGGAAGCGGTTCCTGTGGTCGGGGTCCTCTGCCCGCTGCGGGAGGGGGCAGGAGTGTGGCCCTCATGCCACCCGGCCTCCACCTGCTGTCTGCTCGCCCTCGCACTCAGAGGCAGGGATGGGAGGGCACGGACTTTGAAGTCAGACCTGCGCAGGTCCACTCGCAGCCCGGCCGCCTCCCTGCAGCGGACACTCTGCGTCTCAGTTTCTTCAGCTGTGGCTGGGGCTGGGCGGGGGGGCAGGGGGCAGTCTCCCTGTGGCACTCCATGAGACCGCTTCTTTGGGCACCACTAGCAGCCCACGCAGGAGCCCTGGCAGGAGGCGCAGCAGGTGCACCCTGCTCCCTCGGAGGGCGGCGTCCTCAACGGAGACCGTACAGCCCACGGGACCAGGAGCCCGTCTCTGAGACGGCTCAGGTGTGAGGGCTGAGGCTCCCACTGGCAGGTAGGGGAGCTGCCCCCGCCTGGAGGACCAGAGTCACCAATGGGAGCCAGCATTTGTGTGACCGTCCAGACGTCGCTTCCAAGGTCCCTGCCAGGGACAGGCCCGGTTCCAAGAGCCGTTCTTCTCAGGGAACCTCAGCGCTCTGGCAGCCAAGCCCTGGCGCCCAGGTGAGGTGCACCCCCTCAGGGTTGTTGTGGTGGTGGTTGCCTAGTAACGCAGCCAATGGTCCACAGGTGTGGTTTCCAGGGAGCACAGCTACAAGGTCAACTGGACCCAAGGTCACATCCTCACCCAGAAGGGCGAAGGGATGGGTCCACCTTCACCCCCACCCTCCTCCCAGAGCCGCTGGGGGCAGGAGGGGAGGGCCCAGCCAGGTTCTGGGCACGGGGTCGGGCACACGGTGCAGCGTAAGCGTGTGGTGTGGCCGCCCACTCTGCATCCCGACACCTGGCTCCTCTGCAGGCAGCGTGACCAGTGGGGAGTTGGGCAGAGAGGCCAGGGGTCAGCTGTCCGGTTGGGGCGGGCCGTGTTACCTTGGAGACTTGGCCGTGGTGCCTACCGCCTTCCTAAGGGACCTCATGGTCCTTAATAACAAAATTTATTTTGTTATTCTATGTATCACTCTTGTGATTCTGTCCATCTGTCCATCCTTCCATCTCTCCATCCATCCATTCATCCATTCACCTATCCTTTCATCCATCCATTCATCTATCCACCCACCACCCACCCTTCCTAAGCGACCTCACGGTCCTTCCATCCTGGTCTACAGGTGGAGGGTCTCAGGGCCCTTGGCTCCTGCCCTTCCCTCCTCTTCTGTCACCAGGTGGCGACCTGCAGGAACTCCCAGGCCAGGCAATGGCTCCTTCTTGTTTATTTTCTCACATTTAAGCAGAACCTGCTAGAGGCCTGCCAGCGAGGTGGGAGGTCCTGCCAGCCGTGGGGTCCTCTCCCGTAGGCGGTCTGAGAACTCCCGGGGGCTTCTGCAGACCCCAAACTACGCCCCCTTCCAGCTCATAGTGGGTGCAGCGGCGGCCCTCCCGCCTCCCTTCATCCCATCTCTCCAGGGCTGTTACGTTTCCAGTGGGAACACCAAGCGCGCGCTCTCGGCAGCTGTCCCTCCTGTGACCACCCGCAGCCTCAGGAACCTCCCCAGGCTCCCTAGGGTGCAGGCCAGTCCTTACAGCCGCTCCACACGATGCCCCCCTTCCTACCTGGTCTCCGCCCGAGGAGTAAGGGAGTTGGGTGATAGTCAGGGGGCCTCCTCTCTCTCCTCCCGCAGGTCAGAGGGTCATTCCCCTGGACCTGGGCGTCTTAGTCACCAACCCCCGAGGAGCCGGGCGCGTCCCCCGCTGAGGCTCTGGGTTTCAATGCTTTCAAAACTTGTATAATTTCTTCTTCCAAATTTCAGGAATAACTTTTGTCTCTAAACTTACTCAAACTCTCCTGAGATAAAAATGCCTTTGCTATTTCCTTGTCTCCTGGGGCGGGGGGGCGCCCTCCCTCCGGCCTGCGCTCCTCCAGGAAAGAGCGAGAATGCCGCTCCCCCTCCAGACCCGGTGGCTTTCCCTGCGGGAAGGGAGGTGCGTGCTCCCCGGGGCTGGGTGCCTCAGGGTTTGAGGTCAGCCTAGCTGTGAACCTGCCTCTGCCCTCCCATCCGTGGGGCTGGACCAGCTCCCCCGTCCCGACCTCGGCTTCCTCACCTGTGAGCTAGTTACTGCGACTCCACCTCCAAGGGTTACCAGGGAGCTGGACGGGGTCAGGTGAGCCGTCACGAGGGCCGGGTCCTGGGGGGCCGCTGGCTGGGCGAGCGGGCACAGCCCCCAGCATCACCGGCGCCAGCTGGAGCTCCGCTGTGGAGACCCTGCAGCGCCCTCGTTGTCGTCCTGCCTGGTCTCCCTCCTGTGCGCCGGGCTCAGCGTTTCCTTCCAAGTGATTTTCCGTCTGCATCCTCGCTGGGGGAGCGTTGGCATGCCGGCCGTAACCTGAGAGGCGCCATGCATATTGCATGCCGCCTGTGCCGCTGAAACCGAGTCCCCCTCATGAATAATCCACCTGCTCTTGCCTCCTCAGGGGACATTTTCCTGCACAATCTGGAGGCGCTGCACCTGTCTCGCAATCTCCAGAAAGTCAGTGTTGCAAACGCACTCGATGGTGTGAAGCCGCGGCCGTGCACTATGCCGGGATGGAGCCCGCGGCCACCGGGCGCGCGGAGAAGACATTCAGCTATGTGGTCAGAGCCCCCGGCGGCGACGGGGTGGACGTGATGAACGTGGATGTAAAGATCGACACGACGTGGGTCTTCCAGGACGCGGAGGACAGCGGCGAGGAGCCGGGATGGCGCCCAGAGGGAGCTGCCCTCGGGAGCCCCGACGTGGATACGGGGACGCTGCGGAGGCAGCTGGAGTCCTCCGAGCAGAAGCTGCTGGCAGCGGTGGACAAATACGTGAGGTCGGAGTCTGGGCTCAGGAGCAGGTAAACATGCCTCGGGGGCCTCTTCCGTGTGTGTTTCCCGAACCCGGGGCAGCAGAGCCGGTAGGAAGGCGTGTTGAATCGTTCCTCTGGTGAGGAAGCGGGCGCACCCACGCCACACGCCTGCCTGCCACGTCCCTGCCCCCTCTCTCTCCTGTCCCTGGTCTGTGCTGCCCATTGGGGCTGAGCCGGCGAAGAGGTCTCCCGGCTCGCCCGGCCAATGGGAACATCGACGGGAGGAGGGCGGGAAAGCCAGGGAATTGCCCCCTCTCCGCTGCTCTGGGTGACTTTTCTGACTGTGGCTACAGCTCAGTCCTGCTCCTGGCTCCCTCTGTGGTCCTGCTCCTGCTGGTGGCCCGGCCCCGCCCCAGCATCACCACCTGCTCCCTGTGTCCCTCCAGCCCAGGGACAGGGGTGGCCGCGGGCAGTCACTAGTCCCTGGGTTGCCCGTCATCTCTGACTGGCCTTTCGGCTCACCCACCACGTGCGCAGCAGGGTCTGCATTTGTTTCTCGCTACTGACCCAGAACTCCCTGGTGGGGAGCCGACACGGTCCCGAGGTTGGGCATGGGTCCAGGCCTCTCCACAGCCCAGGCTCTGTCGGGATCGCTGCCTGAAGCCTGGCCCAGCAGCATGAGGCGGGCTGTGCATGGGCCTCAGAGCAGAACGCAGTGCGGAGGTGCAGTGTGGTCCCGGCGGATCGCCTCCCACAGGCTCCCCATGGCCCAGCAGCCAGAGTCTTGGATCTGCCCGAGACTTCGGCCTTTTCTTGTATTTCCCTTCATTTTAATAAAGGCAAGTCGTTACATGTGTATTTACATCCGCTTTACTATTTTTCTTCTTTATAATACGTTTCACATGGAGAACTTCACATATTAAAAATTTATTTTGTTATTCTATGTATCACTCTTGTGATTCTGTCCATCCTTCCATCTCTCCATCCATCCATCCATCCATCCACCTATCCACCCATCATCCATCCATCCATCCATCCACCCACCCATTCATCTATCCACCTATCCACTCACCACCCATCCAGTCGTCTATCCACCCACCACCCATCCATCAATCCATCCATCCACCAATCAACCCACCAACC